TATATTTTTAAGGAAGATATCTTAGAAGTATAAGTTCTTCTTGACTTCCTACATTGCTAGACAGATACACCAAAGGTCGTGAGTTTGACTCTTGCCATGGACACGACAGTATTAATTCACATTTCCGACTGACTCTCTGATGAATAATGAAAACATCTTTAACAAACTAAAATTTAATCAGGGCGACGGCGTTGGGTTTTGTCCAGTTTGAATCTTGCCATGGGCCCAACAGTGTCAATTCACATTTCCGACTAACTCTCCGGAAATGGGAACATCTTTAACAAACCAAAATGTAATCAGGGAGACGGCGTTGGATGTCCACGTGACCTGCCACGTGAAGTTGTATTATATATATTTTTAAAAGGTTAATAACAAGCGAGTTTCATAGCGTTTCTTTTGTATGGGTGCTGTTACTTTTGCTACGAGTAGATATGTTAAAAACTTAAAAGTGTTTTGAATTCAACTATATTAATTAGTAAATATGTTTATCACATCTGTCCTTCAATAACAACGTCATTATTTAAATGACAGAACGTGTACAAATAAATAATAAATAATAGTTATAAATTTGAAACTTTATATAATTTCAAATTTATAACTTTTCATTAGATGTATATAAAAGTATGTACCATATATATAAGGGAACAACATAATACAAATATAAAAAAATAAATATAAGTCAGTTCTTGTTAACATCTGAAACGACTACACCGATTTTGACAGAACTTACTCGCAAATAGCTAACGTTATATGGAGTAAGTTCGGATATTTTTATTTCTGAAATTTATATTATAGTTTGTTACTCCTTATGGATTTTAAATTAAACAATTTAAGATTACTAATTGTAAAAATATTTAAGATTACTAATAGAAAAAATTCCAAGCTAACGAAGTCGCGGCTAGTAAAAACTAGTTTTAAATAAATTAAAAAGAAGTTGCTAATTATATTTACCGTGGTGACGTCTACCAATGTACAGATTACAGATTTCCTACCTAAAAAGTAATATTTACTAATTACAACGTACCTACAGAACATTTAAAAAAACTAAAATATAATATAAATAGGACATCCACGCGTAACATTTCCTCAGGACAGCTCCATAAATAATTCTAAAATAAAACAATTTCAACAACAATATTTCAAAAAATAAAATAATAAAAAGAGTTTATCGCGATTATACCATAAAGAATTTCCATAGATAATTTTAAGTTTAATAACATTCAATTTAAAAACCATATGGTTTTTTAGATTTTTAAAACGACTACAACTAAACGATTACGATAAGATTAAACTGTTTTTGATGTATGTAAAAATAAATTTTTTTGATAACTGCTTTAAATATTTCTCTTATCACTATTATACGCTCATTGTAATAGAAAATCTACATTAGCCGCCATAAATAAGTAAAATATACGAATTGTATATAATAATATAGAAATTATAAATATTTGAAATCAGAGCTAATGAAATGCAAGCAACGTAATAATCTAATATTAGCCAAATAGGTACCTATATAGTATCGGTAATCTACAACAAAATATGACTTCTTGGAATTTAATCTGAAGATTGTAACGTACGTGGATTGGTACTGATACTGAACATAGTTAATTCTCAGAAAAATTACTAACTTAGAAAAAACAAATTACAATATTACTAATTTAAAATACACCTAAAATTAAATAATATATTGTTGCTTATCTGTAGATATTGCAGAGGTACTTATTACGTGTGAATATATAGTAAAACTAGCTGTATCCGAGTGAAATTTATAGCTTATATATGTTATTCTGATGTATAAGCTATATTACTGTAAAGTTTCGTCAAAATCCGTTCAGTAGTATTTGCGTGAAAGAGTAACAAACATGCATCCATACTCGCAACTTTCGCATTTATAATATACTAGCTGTATCCGCGACTTCGTCCGCGTAAATAATGAAAAAATATTTAACTCAATTAACACAATATAAGTCAAATAAATGAGTTTCATCATTTTAGCTTAAAAAATGATAAAAAATAAAAATAAATATTTAATCAATAGGCTAAAAAATAAATTTCAAGCTTCTAGCTTTAAACATGACGATACATCTATATGACCTTGGATCTACCCTTTCAATCCTCTTGCAACCCTTTTTCACATTAAAAAGTAACCTATGTCCTTTCTCAGGATCTAGTCTGTCTATGTCTGTTTCAAATTTCAATTTAAATCGGTTCAGTTTTTTTGGCGTGTAAGCGAGACAAACAGACAAACAAAAGTTTCACATGTATAATATCAGTAATATTTAATAAAAACTAAAATAGACAAAGAAAAAAGTTTAATCGTTCTAGCTTCCACAATAACACAAACAGCAAATTTCCACAATAACTTTCATTCCCTATTTTATTTTACTACCCCCCCTCCCCCTCAGAGTAAAAATTTTACAAACATTGAATGTCTAAAAATGAGTCTCAAACTTCTAGTTTTAAAAAATGACGATTCTTCCATACAGTGTACCATTGCAACCCTCTTACAAATATTTTTTTCACATTCAAAAGTACCCTATATTCTTTGTCCGGGTGTAAACTAACTGTGTTTAAATTTTTTAAATTTCATTTAAATTTTTGTTTTGTTTTGGAGCGTAAGACTGACAGAAAGACAAACAGACTTACTTTCACAGTTATAACATTAGTGGGGTATTTAAAAATCTACCCCAAAAGAACCAATGCAAATAGTTTCATCGTTCTAGTTTCAAAAATTACGAATTTACATAATAACTATCATCCCCTATTTTATTTTGCCCCCTTAAGGGTAATTTTTTTACAAACAATGAATGTCATATTTATTTATATTTAATCAACAGCCTCAAAAATAAGTTTCAAGCATCTAGCTTCAAAAATGAAGAATTTATCAATTTCATCCCCTATTTTATTTTACCCTCTTAAGGGTAATTTTTTACAAACATCGAATGTCATTTTTATTTATATTTAATCAACAGTCTCAACAATCAGTTTCAAGCTTCTAGCTTCAAAAATGACATGTTTACATAAAAACTTGCATCCCCTATTTTATTTTACCCTCTTAAGGGTAATTTTTTTACAAACAATGAATGTCATATGTATTTATATTTAATCAACAGTCTCAACAATAAGTTTAAGCTTCTAGCTTCAAAAATGACGAATTTACATAAAAACTTGCATCCCCTATTTTATTTTACCCCCTTAAGGGTAATTTTTTACAAACATTGAATGTCATTTTTATTTATATTTAATCAACAGTCTCAAAAATAAGTTTCAAGCTTCTAGCTTCAAAAATGACGATTCTTCCATACAATCTTTCATCCCCCCTTTTAACCCCTTACAACCCTTTTTTCGCATTAAAAAGTAGCCTATGTCCGTTCTCAGGGTCTAGACTATCTGTATACCAAATTTCATTCAAATAGTAGTTTTGGCGTGAAAGCGAGACAGACAGACAGAGTTACTTTCACATTTATAATATTAGTTTTTGTCGCAGCACAAAAATATATTTTTATCGTTTCCGTACAAATAATAATTTTACAGTATTAATCTACAAACCAACATTTTGTTTCTTACAATCAGCTAAATAATTTAAATAGTTCCATAATATATGGCACAATGAAAAGGTCATTTATTGTATAAAAAAATCAGTTAGTTTTTATTTTAGTGAAAAATAAGAAAATTCTATTTTGATACAACAACCATATATTTATTAAGACCTATACTTTATTAATTTTGTGTTAATGCTTTTTAAATAAACACACATTATTTCTGTATAACCTACAAAAATGGGTAAATAATTTAAATATGCCACACCACAACATTCTTTAAAAAATGTAAATAATAAAATTTGAAGAAATTGTGATATATTCAGAACAGGGAAACAACGTTTGACATTTATTATTATTTAACATTGGACATTGACTTTAATTTTTGTAATTTATATTGTAAAACTTTAAGTTGGGCTAAACTGGGCTTGTATCCAGAGCCGTAAAATAAATTATATAAAAAAAATCGCCAAATTTATCTCGCAATCGGCCAATTTCAGGTTTAAAGAAAAAACACATACACACGATATACGATTTTATCATAAAAAAGTGTCAAAAAACAATATTTTCACTAAACGTCAACGTCATGTTTCCGGCAAGATCTTTCGTTTTACATTATGTTATCTGTGGTTTTGTTCTCTGTGATGGATACCTTATATATGTGTTGATTGGTTGTTAGCTAGTGAAATGAAAAGATGGCAAATGGCGCAAACGCACGCGATGTGTTGATTGGTTGTTAGCTAGTGAAATGTAAAGATGACGAATAAGTATTCAACCGCATAAAGATAACCTTGTATTTCCATTTTGAACCCTTACAACCCTTTTTACGCATTAAAAAGTTGCGGTGAACTAGCGTACTAAATTTCATTTAAACAGTAGTTTTGGCGTGAAAGCGAGACAGACAGACAGACAGACAGACAACTTTCGCATTTATAATATATTATTATTAAGATAAGATATTGTCGAGTTACTTATTACGTGTGAATATAGAAATATATAGTTATTTCAATACGGAATAGACGTAGTTGATAATAGTAGACAAAAAGTACAATCGACGCCTTTTATGAATACTAAAACCACGTCATTTGTTATTGAGATGGATAATTTATCTACATTGTGTTCTGGGCTACAATTGAAATCGAGATAGGTATAAACTCCCAAGAGTTGTACTTTCGAGTACAAAATTAAATAATTAACTATTACAAAATGGCGTCGATAATTAGATATTACGAGTAGATAATATAACACGTGTCATATTCTATACAGACGTTATTTAGAAATAGGTATTACAGTAGGATAGTACGTTTGGAAAGCATCCGAGCGACGACGACGGCGCTCGAACAAAGAGCAAGAACACGCAGCGACGCGACAATTGCAAACCGGCCGGCTGTGAACGCACGACCGCCGCACGCGCTCGTTGCGGCCAACCGACATCCGCAAATAGGGTGCGTAACAACATACCAGCCGCAAACTTCTCCGTCAACCCCAGAGCAGTCCAGCCCGGCACCACGCACTCGTACACCTCCTCCCAGCACCGTGACTTCTCCGCCCTGTCACTGTAACTTGGATCGTTCGTGTCGAACAGACAAGGTCTTTTCTGTACTTCTGTTATTATCAGAGTACTCTTCACCCCGTCGCCGTCCTTCGTTCTGACCATTGTAGATAAATAAAATAAAAAAATATTTTTTTAAATTTCGAACGTCACGTTCCAAATGCGAGTTCAAAAATTACGTGCGTATTAGCTCTATGCGGACGTAACGTAATGTACGTCTGAACGCCCGCGTGAAACTGGCGGGCGGGTTGAACAGCGCATCGGGCAAACATGGCCGCCAGAGACGGCGGGGAACAAATAGGTGCGAGCAGACTGAGGTCGCTGCGATATCGCCTTCCTCGCGCTAATAAATAAATAAGATGCATGCAATGTATCCTGACTACATTAGTGTGAACGCGGCAAAAATAATGTCGTAGTAACGTCACGGGCACATCATGTATCAATAATCTTACAAAACATTTTTGTTCAATATTATTATCGCCGTGTACTCTAGATAACTTGTACACAAGTTTAATCATAAATAGGTAATCACGTCGCTTGGTAACATAACGACCATCTAACGTTCGAGTTATAGAAATTGTAGTGTTACATAATTCCGTGGATACTTTACGTGCGGCAAGCAAGCTGCGGCCGCTGCTAGCGTTTCTTGACGGCTAGGCAGGTAATTATTATAACAAATAATGTATAGTTTTTTCATAAAGTATATGTAAATTGCTAGCTCTGTTTGACCTTGTTTATTGCCGCGGCTGACAGAGTCACTGTATTGTCTAATGAAAATAATTGTCTAAATATTTCATAATCATTTAATATGATAGATCTCGAATTACTGCATGACGTATATTGTATAGGTATTTTACGAAATTCGAATTCGATTCATAAACCGAATGCGGGGTGCATTACATATTTTGTATATTAGTAGTAAAATTTTGAATTCGGTTCAGAACTTGAATTACTGCATGACGTATTTTTTATATTACTTGTAAAATTGGGAATTTCGAATTCAGTTCATAACTTGAATTACCTCATGACGTATTTTGTATATCATTTGTTTACCAAAAGTTTTCCTACAAAAATCACATTAGGTAAAATTGTTGAGTATTAAACAATTATTAATTTTATGTACGTATTTTTTTTTAAACCATGGGAATAAAAATTACTGGATGTATAATAAATAGGTATTCATTTTGCATTTTTATATATAAAATGTTTAGATAAAACAATTTCAATGAAGCATTGTCTTAAATAAATAAAACAACAATATTAATATTCGAGACCTTATGATAATTAACCTTAATATATTAATTTTCATTTTTATATTTTGGTCTGGCATAAAAAATAGAGTGGGAAGTTTAGATAAATATCTCTTATCTAAACTTCGCACTCTATTTTTTTTCTGTAAGCAGTGGGTATAGTTTTTAAGGTACCCAATAACCTTTCGGAATACGAATTTGGTTCATAATTCGAATTACTGCATGACGTATTTTGTGTATTAGTTGTAAATTTCAAAATTCGAATTCGGTTCTGAACTCGAATTACTGCATGACGTATTTTGTATATTGGATGTTAAATTTTAAAATTCGAATTTGATTCAGAAGTCGGAATTACTGCATGACGTATTTGTATATTAGATGTAAAATTTCAAAATTCGAATATGGTTCAGAACTCGGAATTACTGTATGACGTACTTTGTATATTAGTTGTAAAATTTCAAAATTCGAATACGGTTCAGAACTCGGAATTACTGTATGACGTATTTTGTATATTAGTTGTAAAATTTCAAAATTCGAATACGGTTCAGAACTCGGAATTACTGTATGACGTATTTTGTATATTAGTTGTAAAATTTCAAAATTCGAATACGGTTCAGAATTCCGAATTACTGCATGACGTATTTTGTATATTATTGTAAAATTTCGAAATTTCGAATTCGATTCAGAAATTATATAAACTATTATACATAGTAATAGTTTCATACGTATCTTCTTAACATACTATAAAACAAAGTCGCCGCCATTGTCTGTTCGCTTGTATCTTTTAAATTACGTAACGGATTTTAATGCGGTTTTTAACAATAGGTAGAGTGAACCAAGAGGAAAGTTTATATTTATAATAAATGTACACCCGTGCGAAGCCGGGGCTGGTAGGTAGTTAACTATAATATTGTTATGCCGTTGTAGTGACTCGGTATTGAAATGCATAACAAAATAACAATGAAGAAACTTATAAGGCTGACAAAGGTTTACTGTATAGCAGAGAGGATAGATTAAATTACAACAAGAGTAAATACATAATTTACAATATCGAGCAAATCCGTGAGCGTACAATAGTAATTAATAAAAATAGTATGATTTCTTTTATAATTTGTTGTTTTATTAGTTCATAAAATTATAGTAAAACCTAAACATTAAGCTGTATAAGAAATTAATGACAAAAACAAAAAAATATATATTGGCTACCTAAAATATTTATATGTTACTGTAACGTAGGTAATAAATATAAATTTTAATTGATTAGGTACTTCACAAATCATTAGTATACCTACTACAACTAGCTATTTCAAGGATTATTTAAAAGAGCAACACGCAAGTTTCTTGCTCGTTCTTCTTGTAATGAGACAGCTTTCCGAATGAGCGGTAAATTAAAAAAAACATTATTATGACTATTCAAAAGTGCTTAAATTAAGTTTATTTGAATAAATAAATTTCTATTCTATTCTATTCTATAAAATTACTACACGTCTCTACCGTATAGTAAATACCTATCTATGTTTCAAAGATCTAATTGAGTGAAAAAACATTTTAGTCTTTTAATGACAGATTCATATATAACGTTATGCCGATCAGACTTCAATAAAATTTCATAGAAAATCGAAATCGAATACAAAATCAAAAAAGAAAATAGCAAATTCGACTAAGAATATGTACTTGCTGCAGCACTACTAAGCAATACGATCAGACAAACTGTCTGAGCAATAGACCAGTAGAACCTTAAATGAGCAACAAGTTCCTTAAAGTCATCTTTGGAAATATTTAAATTCTCTAGAAAACTTTTTTTTTATCACTACGATAAAAAAAAATTAAATCATATTATGAAAAAAAAAAAAAACTATGTTTTTTTCTCGTCGGTCTTTTAAGAAGGAATAAACGCGTAAGCACTTTTTTTTTCTTTTAATCTAAATTTATTTTGGGGATTTTTGTTTTCAGACATGTCAATCCCATTATTACAAACTAATCGGAACAATTCTTAAAAAAATAAACAATCAAATAATTACCAAATTATGTAAGTTGGTAATTATTATCTATTTATTAAATTGCTTTTATCAGCGCCCACAAACACAGAGCAATATCAGTAGTAGCTCTTTTCTTCGAGGTTTCAATCTTATCGGTTCGGAAATACCATTGGTGGAAGGTGATTCCACAATGTGGTTGTGCGTGGCAAAAAGTTTCTAGAAAAACGCCATTCAATCAGATGATCGGTATGGTATATCTATATATATATATAAATAAATTGCTGTTCGTTAGTCTCGCTAAAATTCGAGAACAGCCGATTTGGCTAATTTTAGTGTTGAAATATTCGTGGAAGTCCAGGGAAAGTTTAGGCGGCGATAAAATATGAAGAAATTGCATGTAAAATAGTAAAAACAACAATATTATTTCCCCATACAAACTGCTGATAGCTGTCAAGCGTTCAGAAATTTATTGCGTAACTAAACTTCAAAAACCTTTGACATATTATTTTTGAGGTGGAACGGAGTTCGCAGGGTCAGCTTATAAAAAACTAGCTGTACCCGCGGTTTGACCCGCATGAAATGTATAGCCTGTGTGTTATTCTGATATAAGCTATATTACTGTAAAGTTTCATCAAAATCTGTTCGGTAGTTTTTGCGTGAAAGAGTAACAAGTGGAACTAAAAAATAAAATCCACCACGTTTAAAACCGGATCCTTTTGCCGACTTTAATTAAGTAACCTTTAAAAGTATTTTCTTTTGCGTAATTACATTGCCAGCAACAAATTATTCTTATTCTAAAATTAGTACTCCTTAGCAACATTAATGACACGTTTTAGGCCTTGACGGTATAGCGGTTTAGTACACCGCCTTCTTCCGATGGTCGCGGGTTCGATACCTCGCACGGTACAAACATTTGTATTCATTCATATGACTGGTTGTATCGGCATGGGTGTTTTCTACGTATATTATGTGTGTATTTACAAAAAATGTATCTAAGTATTTCTATAACTTGTGTGGTACCCATTACACAAGCTGCTTTGCTTAGGACTAGATGGCGCTTTATGAATTGTTCAGCGTTATAATTATTATTTAAATGTAATTAAATAAATCTAAAGAACCGTAGACTGGCCGGATTTCATCAAAGAAACTGATCGCGTTTAGTTCGAACTGAACGCCATTAAAACGTTTAAACGTGTTCAAAGCTTCAGTTTGCATTTCACCACTACAAATTTCGCTAAACACGTTTATAAATTCTGAACGCCCGATTTCCTATGTATTTAAAGCAGCTGTCAGTCGTGAAACAGTCATCAGTCAAATTTTTGACAATTAATATCGGGAATAAAAAAAATTGCCAGCAGTGTAGAAATATCTTCAATAAAATAATGATCTACCTTGTTTATGGTTAAAGTTTGTTGTTATGTACTTTGTAGTCAACAGTACTTATTAAATTAAAAACTTATCCTAATTATCATATGACTGAATTACAAATATTTCTTAAAATTATTTTAGTTAAATTACCCACTTCATCAAATATTCTAGGTCGTTCTTTTTTCGAGTTTCCGTTTGAAAGGAGAGACGAAAGGTTATATGTAATTTACGCGAACAAAATCGCGGCCACATGTAGTACGTAAAAAAACTGGCTTTTAAAAAAATTGCTGTCTGTCTGTATTACTCATGCACAACCACAAAGGATGTGTAGTGACGTAATAACTAGGATAAACTGAGGTACTACCATGACGACAAATTTCATAGATCCGTCCAGCCGTTTAGTCGTAAAAAAGTAACAAATGTACAGATATACAGACACTTTTGTATTAATCTATACATATAAATAAAATTGGAGTATCTGTTTGTAATATTAAATTCTCATTAAATTATGACAATAAGTTAATAACAGCAACAAAAGATATAGTTCATATTTTTCAAGATTTTTTTGCTAATATTCCGATTGATATTACATCTTCTCTAGACTCATCTCCAATTCGAGCAAAAAC